TACTATGATAATAATAGATAATAGTGAAGATAGATAATAATGAAGATAGATAATAGTGAAGATAGATAATGGTAATGAATAGTGAAGATAGATATGAAGATAGGGATAGTGAAGATGATGATAACGATGATGACTGTAATAATCATAGTGATAATGAAAATGATACTAATAGTGAGGATAATTCTAATACTATTCTCTTCTCATTATTTTTATTGGTAAGAATGCTCATACTGCTAAAGAAGATAGTAATGATGAATAGGTCAATGGAAATGACAATAATGATAATGAGAGCATGGATAATGATATATAATAATGATAATAGTAATAATAATAATGATAATAATAATAATAATAATAATAATAATAATAATAATTATAATAATAATAATAATAATAATAATAATAATAATAATGATTATAACAATAATAATGATGATGATGATGACCATGATGATGATAATGATGATAACAATAATAATATGAAAATAAAAAACAACCATTAACAATAAGGATAATAGTAATAATGATAATACGAATGAAAATGTAAAAGCAGCTGTAATGATGATGATAATAATAACAGTAATTATATAAGATCATAATCAAAGAAGTAATTAAGAATAGGAGTGAAAATGAAAATGATGAGAGTCATGATCATTAAGATTACAATGATAACCATGGTGATAGTGATTTCAAAAAATAATTACATTTATGAAAAGGTAACAAAACCACTGGTACAGCCAGCAAAACAAATTCAAAATGTAATAAAAAAAAAAAAAAAAAAAAAAAAAAAAAAATATATAATAAATATATAATATATATATATATATATACAATAAACAAATTCAAGATGTAATAAAAAATGTAAAAAAATATATATAAAAAACAATAAAAGCCATTTTCATCGTTGCATATTTGGGTCAAGCGAGTAAAAAAAAGATTCCACACAAAGCCTTCTGTAAATTTAATTTGCCATCGTTGAGTTCAGGAATTGTAATGGAAATTTACAAGTACATGTACACACACATAGACAGAATATGTGTCATCATCATCATCATAATCAATTCATCATTATTATAACATTGTTATTACCGTCATCATTATTATCATAATAAAGATGATGGTAACAATGATACGATAGTGATAACAATGATGATAAACATGAAAATTATAATTATTATTATATTGATAATAATGATCATTATTATCATCTTTACTATTATCATCATTATGATAATCACAGTAAGAGTAACGATTACTGTTGTTGTCATTAACAACATTTATCATCATTATCATTTTTTATTTTATTACTACCCTTATTGTTATTATCATTACTATTGCTACTATTACCATTAATGTTATCATTATTTGTATCTTTCCTTTCATTATTATTATTATTATTATTATCATTATTATTATCATGATTATTATCATATTTTTATAATATTATATTATTGTTATAATCATTATCATTTTCGTTATTATTACTATTTTCATTATTATTATTATTAGTGGTAGTAGTAATAGTAGTAATAGTGCTATTATTATTACTATTCTCATTTTACTATAATCATTATTATTACTATTAGTATGATTATTACTATCATCATCATCATCATTATTATCAATGTTATTATTATTATTATTGTTATCATTATTACCATAATATTGATTGTAATGATTATTATCTTCGCTATTATTTTCCTCATTATTATTATAATCATTATTATAATTTTGATAATTATAATTGTTACTATTATTATCATCATTGTTGTTAGTATATCCTCCGCCAAAGAGGTTATATTTTCGGTGTGTTGGTTATTTGGTCAATAACATTCGCGATAACAAAAAAAAAGTTATGAACATTTTACAACCAAAAAAAATGAACAGTTATGAAAAATTTAGTTATGAACATTATGTTTTATTTTTTATTTTACAACCAAAAAAAAGTTTTATGAACAGATTTTTATGAAAATTTTACAACCAACCAAAAAAAGTTATGAACAGATTTTTATGAAAATTTTACAACCAAAAAAAGTTATGAACAGATTTTTATGAAAATTTTACAACCAAAAAAAAGTTATGAACAGATTTTTATGAAAATTTTACAACCAAAAAAAGTTATGAAACAGATTTTTATGAAAATTTTACAACCAAAAAAAAATGAACAGATTTTTATGAAAATTTTACAAAAAAAAAAAAGTTATGAACAGATTTTTATGAACATTTTACAACCAAAAAAAAGTTATGAACAGATTTTTATGAAAATTTTACAACCAAAAAAGTTATGAACAGATTTTTATGAAAATTTTACCAGAGGTGTGTCTTAGCCCAATTTAGATGCCATTAATTTTCGCGGTGATCCAATCATGATTTTTTTCTAATGATTTTAATTAGCTGCCGCGATGTATATATTTCTTATAATATATATTTTAATAATTTATATATTATAATAACTGTTATTATCATCACCTCATTACCTTTACTACCATCGCCAAGGAGGGTATGTTTACGGACGTCACGTGACCAGTGTACTTATGAAAAAGGTGATTTTATTGTACTTCTTAAACTGTCAATATCTTTTATTGCATCGGTGACTCTACTGCCTTGGCGGAGGTATGCGCTCTCTGAGTGCTTACAGTTATCAAAATTCGATTAGACATAAAGAAAGGAAGAAAGAAACACGAAGAAGGATAAGAGAAAGTTGTGTCAAAAGGAAGTTGTTATCATTCGAGTACAAAATATGTGGCATTTTGCTCATCAATTGCTTTTTTCGAGAAGGAGGGAGGAAAGGGAGGGAGCGAGGAAAAGGGAAGAAAGGAGGGAGGAGGAGAGGGAGGGAGCGAAAGGGAGGGAGCGAGGAGAAAGGGAGGGAGCGGGAGGAGGAGAAAGGGAGGGAGCGAGGGAAAGGGAGAGGAGGAAAGGGAGGGACGAGGAAATAGAAAGCGCTGAAGGAGGGAGGAAGGAAGGGAGCAAAGAGGGAGGGAGTGAGGGAGGAAGGAGGACGGGGCAAATAGTGAGAAGGAAATTTCTGACGGAGGGAGGGAGGGAGAGTAGAAAACTGAGTGAGTGAAGGAGGAAGAAAGGGAAGAAGTGCCGAGAGAGTGAAGATGGAGGAAGGAGGGTGAGAGGAGACACTGAATGAAGAAGAGAGGAAGGGACGAAAAACTGAAGGAGTTAAGGGAATGAGTAAGGGAGAAAACGCTTGAGGAAGAAAGATGAAACACCGATGAAACATCTCTATCTCTCTCTCTCTCTCGTCTCCTTCTCTCTCTCTTCTCCTCTCTCTCTCTCTCTCTCTCTCTCTCTCTCTCTCTCTCTCATTCTCATCCTCTCTCTCTCTCTCTCTCTCTCTCTCTCTCTCTTTCTTTCTCTCCATCTCTCTCTCTCTCTCTCTCTCTCTCTCTCTCTGTATTCTCTCTCTCTCTCTCTCTCTCTCTCTCGTCTCTCTCATGCTCTCTTTATGATTCTTGTGGTAGTGGGTGTGGAATGTTGTGGTGTGTGGTGTGTCTGTGTGTGTGTGTTTATGCATATTAGCTCTATATGTGTGTGTTTGCAGTAGAAGACACTTTAAACAATCTATTTTCACCAGAGAACGGGGTAAACAAGCATTACGAGTGTTAATTGCTACTATTCCTCTTAGAACATCCGTCTTCAATAAACCTCGTGTGGATAGAGTGTGCTTACAAGTGGGTCACCAGCGGGTGTGATGCGGCGAGTGCGATTAATTCTTTGGTAAACAGTATAGTGTTGTATAGTGTTGTATGCAAATGGGATGAGGGCAACTCGCGGCCGTAACTCCGGTCTGCTTGTTTGTGAAAGTGAGAGACGCGTTTCATATACTGTCAGGTTACTTTCGTCTTTTTTTGCCCTTTTTTTTCCTTGGCTGGAACTTTTTCGTCTTTTTTGCCCTTTTTTCCTGAATCTATTTGGACAAAGGTTATAAATTCTGGAATCTATTGCGTCTTTTTTGCCCTTTTTTCCTGAATCTATTCGGACAAAGGTTATAAATTCTGGAATCTATTGCGTCTTTTTGCCCTTTTTTCCTGAATCTATTCGGACAAAGGTTATAAATTCTGGAATCTATTGCTCTCATAATCCTTTCGCGGAATTCCTTAATTCAACTCCTCTTTCTTCTGTCGTGGATCAGATTAAATGCATTCGATTTCACTTAATCCGAGTTTTGTTTCATGAATGTATTTATTCAGCATTCTGCGTATTTATTTTTTTCCGTTCCGTGTTGGGTTGCGTGATGCAATATGTAGCGGACGGATGTGTACATATGTATGACTCTGTGTTTGCTGGTAATTCCGCTCTTGCATATTGTATCGGGAATATGTTATGGCCTTGATTAATTATTCTTTTATATATATGTATTTATTTATCTTTCAATCCATGTAGTAATTCTCTCATGAATATATATAATTCAGATTTTTTAATTAGTCTCATTGTTTATTTATTTTAATTGAAAATTGACTGCTAATTTGTGCTCTCTAAGTCGCATGTCAGATGTCAGAGAGTGTCAGCCATTGTGGGTTATCGCGTGTTGCAAAATAAAAGGGATCACTGGAAACCTTTTTGCTTCTGTCGCCGGATGTGTGGAAGGGCGTGTCTCGTGTGTTGTTCTCTCTCTCTCTCTCTTCTCTCTCTCTCTCTCTTTCTCTCTCTCTCTCTCTCTCTCTCTCTCTCTCACTGTGTGTGTGTGTGTGTGTTTATGTTTATGCATATTAGCTACATATGTGAGTGTTTGCAGTAAGGATACAGATGTGTATGCATTCGTCTTCATTATACCTATCATATGATATTATAGATGGAAATAAACACCTCAAGTTGATATATTCTTATCGGAGCCATTTTCAACGCCAGTAATAAGTGCAGTCATTTCGTCATTAGCAAATTTTAGCAATTGCCTGAGCCCTTTCTAAACACAAGTTTACGACCGCGGCTAATAGCGGCTTTTCGTCGTCGCGGAACACCTAATAAGGCTCTCCCACTCCTTTCAG